GTGCCTGACATCTCTGCTGGAGAACTCAATCGCTGAGGTCTCTGAGCCAGAGGTTGGGGAGTTCGATTCCCCCCACTGGGCCCTCCTTGACAAGGGCTGGGCTTGATGATCCCCCGGGGTCCCTTCCAGCCTCTGCACTTCTAAGGCGATGACGATCTGCATTATTTATTACTAGACATCTCATGATCAAGGGGAAGGGGGCACTCTCCTCCAAAATTTTGATGTGAGAGGGACCCCCCCCCATATTGCAATCCATGAGCTGTCCCTGTTGTTACTGGGTTCTCTCTGGTCACCTGTGGGTGATTCTGAACTCGCCACAGGTGACCAGAGGAGCAGATGTTTTATTAAACTTTTGTTCAGCACCCTGTCCTTGCAGGGCAGATTAATTTTTGAGGTCTTCCCAGGGAGGTGGGTAACGTCTAAACTGGCCTTGAGGGATGACCACTCAGACATATCCCAGATGGAGACCTCGGGCTTTGGTAAAGAGCAAGGAGAGGAAAAGATAGCATCTGCACAGGCTCTGTGGTGGATGCAGAGGGGTGTACGCAAAGAAGAGTTGTGCCCCCCCCGTGGTCCAGAAGGCCACGGGAGGCGCGCCCCTGGCACTTGCTGTGGGTTGCGTCAGGCCATGGAGTGGCCCAAAAGGGGGAGGAGAAAAAAAGCAAAGCAAAAAAAGACTTTCAGTTTTGGTTCGGTTTTCTCCAGCACAGGATTGAACTTCCTGGCCTATTTAAAGTAGTAAACAAGGAAGTGAATTCTGCTGGTGGCGAATTCCAGCAGAAGAAAACCATTTGCATTGTAGACAGACAGACAGACAGACAGACTGACTGACTGACTGACTGACTGATTGATTGATTGATTGATTGATTGATTGATTTGTGAGTCGGGGGGAGCCACCCTGTGCTTGACTCTGATTTAAACTGCGACTCAAAGGATGCCCTGGTAGTCTAGGTGTGTTTGCGGCTGGAAACTGGGAGTGTGGAGCTGAGGAAGTGGAAAGGGAAGGGGGGGGGTCACAGTAGAAAATCCTGTTGGCAGTTCAGGAAGCCCACCCTAGTATTTCTCCACTGAAACTTGCTTTTTGCTGAATCCGCTTCCTGTCTGAAAATAGCCAGGATGGAAAAGAGGAAGAGGGGGCAGAGAGAGAGAGAGAGAAGCCTTCCTTTCTTTGTGATGGGTTCTCTGAGGACAGCAGGGCCCGCCCGACCTTACAGGTCTGTTGTAAAGATGTAAGGAGATGAATGGATTGCAGAACACGGCAGGCAGGCCGTTAAGAAGGCGTGTGCGGTCTCACTGCTGAGCGGCTGCTCATGTTCGTGGATGATTAGGAAGAGAAAAGAGAGAGCCTACAAGCAGGGATCAAAATCATGGGGGGGGGGAGAACCCTCCCATTTTCCACTTTTGCAACCAGGGCTTATGTGGGCTTTGGGTCATCGCTGCTGAGCCCCAGAACTCAGAACTATTCTTTCTTTCTCTCTCTGTTTGTGTGTGTGTTAAAGCACAACTCATAAACCAGTAATATGCATGGGGCAGGAAGCAAGAAGGTTGCCAGAAAGGTTCTCCCGTCATCCTCAAGCACCGGACAGGTTCCCGGGTCAGCCAGCGCAGGGAGAACCAGGCCACCGGGCTTGCTGTGTGTTTGCATCATCCCAGCTCTGTTTGCTGGTGGCCCTTTGATCGCGGGAGGAGACACACCTCCCTTGGATTCTGGCCATCGCCAGGAGCTCTTTGGCATCGCTCAGATCCTGGAGGCTGACCCCCCCCCCGACACCGGCAGGCGAAAGGGAGGGCTTGCTGCACCCTCTCCCGAGGAAGGTGTTTGTTGCCCGCTGTTCACAGCATAAACGTGCTTGCTTTTTCACGGCAGTGCCCTCTGGGCACCATGCATGTGCGTTGGGAAACGGCCACCTCGGACGGGTCATTGTCTGCTGCATTGATATGGGATTTGGAGAGGATTTGGCCTGCTTTACTGACCGACGGATGCACTAGGTGACGTTTGAGCTTTTGCAAACCCCGGTACAGATTTCCTACTGTGCCATGGCAGGGGAGAAGCACAGGGAACACAGAGAGTAGATGTGCTCCTTGCACATGGATCCTTTCAGAACGGGCTCTGTTTCCCGCCTGTCGCACATTCTTCCTTTGGCCAGAGGGATCTGGGACTGCAAGGGTCAGCGTCAAAGGGCAGAGTGAGACTCGGGGAAGTTTCTCTTTGGGATCACAATCCCCAGCTAGCTGGTTGGGGGAAGGTAGGTAATGGAGTCCAGAAACATAATGTTTCCAGTTTCTGAAACCAGTGCTTTATACAGCATGTAAATTCTGAATTATGTCAGTACTTAAGATGCAGGAAGCTGGCAATGTTGGTAGGTCTCCATCTCAGCCCTTAAAGTACCCAATGGAGGGACGGGTGACAAACCTTTTCTCTTTTCCCAGTGTTCCCCTGTTCTCCCCACCCCATCATTGCTTTACCATCGGTTTGGCAGTGGGACTTACCCTGCAGGAGTTTAAACCACTGGGGACTTCGGACCATGTTGCAAAATAGATAAAATAGTGGTCTACACACTGACTTTCTTCACCTGTTCCATCACTAAAAACTAACTTCACCGCGGGCTGAGAATAAAAACTGCCTGGTGGGTCTCTGTTTTTTCCACCGAGCTGGGAGCTCCTGCACCCGGACAAGATGGATGCAGCTTGGAATTCACTGCTGGGGTGCAGCGGGGCGGGGGCTTATCTTACATCCGAGGTGGTAGATCAGAAGTTTCCCGGTTCTCAGTGAGTTGCTCTCGGGTAAAACCTAACACCAATGATGAGACCCACTTCTTGATCTAGAGCAGCCTGCCCACCCTATTATATCATGAAACAACAAGAAGGCAACAGGGATTTAAGATCAACTTTTTCCTACAACCCCCACCCCATTCCTGACACCTGACTTGGTGAAGACAGCGTCTACTTGACCCATTTGTGGGAGGGCTTTTTGGTGGGTGGATGTACCTCCTGGGAGAAAAGCCAGCCTGGGTGGCCTTGGGCCGGCTGCAAAGTCCCAGGGTGACCCCAGAAGAAAGGAAGAAAAAACCACTTCTGAGGACTCTCTATCTAGAAAACTCCAAAAAGGGTCACCCTGAGTCAGAATGGACGAGATGGCGCATGATTATTATTTATTGCAACAGCATCAATATGCAATTCAGAGTTTATTTTGGGCCCCGTGGCTATCTTTGCTTTTTTGGAATTCCCCTGAAGCGGTTGCGATGTGGGTTCCCTTGAGGGAGGCCAGATTCAGTGATCTTGGGAAGACCCACGGGAGTCTCCAGACACCCACACAATCCTCTCTCCGACACTTGCCGTGCAGCTGCTGTGGCTCAGCCCTCTGACACACACATCTCCTGAGCGAGGGACACACACCCTCTGCGGGGGTCCTGCTTGACTGTACATGCAGAGGAGAGACGCCGTGGTCCTCCCATGCCATGGGCATCATCCACGAGAGGAGGAAAAGGCGGCATGAGCACAAAGCACTGCCAATCATTTCCTCTTGTATTTTGGAAGGCCACCGCTTGTGAGGTCCAGCATGGCATTGGTTTTTCCACATAAGATGCGATGGGCTGATGGAACTCATTGCCTCAGGACTGGTGGTGACTCAGTAAAGGGGTTGCGGGAATGTCTTGGTTCTGAAGACTGGCAGAAGAGCATCTTGACAGACTTCCCTTTCATTAAAATGTGTGCATGTGTGATAAAAGTTTCTACATTTTCGTATGTTGTGTGTGTGTGTGTGTGTGTGTGTGATAAAAGTTTCTACCTTTTCGTATGTTCCCACTCATTGCAGTGCACATATAGACGAGAAACATTGGTATTGGACTTACGTGTGGGTGGAAATGAATGCGTGTTGCGTTCTCTCATGCTTCACAGAAGCCAATTGCTGCATGTCTTTGGCTAGCCATGTTTGCATGGAGACTTTTCAGGCCGGGAGTCCCTCAAACAAGACAGTTGCTTTGAATGGGTAGCATCCTGAACCTTCCTGGTCATTCTTGCCCTTGAATTGCTGCTCTAATTTTGGAAGGCTACGGCACTTAAAACTGATATACTGTACAGTACTGTATTTTTTAATGGCACAGAAGATCGGTGTGAGCTACTTGGATAACCTGTCTTCTTTGGTTAATTTTGGAAGGCTACGGCACTTAAAACTGATATATTTTTTTAATGGCACAAAACTTATCTGTGTGAGCTACTTGGATAACCTGTCTTCTTCTCTTTGGTTAGCTTGCAAAAATTAAAATTAGCTGGTAAAATAAGGGAAGGCCCCCACCCAGGTGCAACTACAGAGTGCAACTACAAAGGGATTGGCTGTTTGGATTTTCTTGGACTATACTCTTTGGTTAGCTTGCAAAAATTAAAATTAGTTGGCAAAATAAGGGAAGGCGCCCATCCGAGTGCAACTACAGAGGGGTTGGCTGTTTGGATCTTCTTGGACTATAACTCCCATCAACCCTGAGTGCTGGGTGTGAGGGCAGTGGCTGATGGGAACTGTAGCCGCTCAGAGTGGTATAAATATTACCAGGTGGGCGGGATAGAAATCAAATAAATAAATAAATAAATAGTTGGACCCCATCTGGAAGTGTGAGGGCAGTGGCTGATGGGAACTGTAGTTGGACCCCATCTGGAAGGCCACACCTTCCGAGCACAGTCCTGGAGCTCTTAAAGCAGGGGCTGAACGGGAAGGGTGGGACTGGGAAGGAGGCTCGGCTAGATGATCTTCAGAGTCCCCGCACAGGGTTCTGCACATGGATCCTTGAGACTCTTGGAACGACAGAGGCAAGAGAAGGGCCTCCAGTTTCTGTGTCCCCATCCTCATTTTTCCGATATGCTATATAGCCGCTTGCCGTACGTAACCTTGAGGAATCGCAAAATGGCTAAAGGAATTGGATCGGGACTGGGCGTCCTTGGTCCTTCCAGTCTCTCAAGTTGGGCCCCTTCACTGTTCAGCCTGAGCCTCCATGTTTACGCCACCCTTTCCTCTCCCCTCTTTTTCTAGATGAGCCTCCTGGTCCAGAAGCTCCCAGCGGGAGCCACTCCGGGGAAAAAACGGCTGGACTTGGACGACGAGGCCACTGGGACCGACGCTCCACTGCACAAGCGCCCTCGCCTGGACCCGCCGGCGGGACTGACGCCTTGCCTTCAGCCCCTGCCTGTCTCTCTGACCCCCTCGAACCAGGACCCGCAGGTCTCCCAGATTGGCCCCTACATCCTTTTGGAAGCCCCGGCAGCCGGCAGATGCTCTCGGGCCATAAACAGGCACACCGGGAGGGAATACACCTGCAAGGTAGGCCGGCTCAGGTCCACCGAGCCGCTTTCTTGACCTGTTCGCTGCTCACTTCGGCTATAATTTTTAACAGGACTTTTCAATAATAATAATAACAACAGTTGTCTCTGAAGCAAAGCCGGTGGCTGTAGAATCGGAAAAGTCTTGCAGTTTGCACGGCGAGTCTAGATTTGCCACTTAAATCCAGAGTTGCAGAACAGGCCAGAAGCCCAATGTTGCAAAACTGCTTCTTTGAACTTGCTTTCCTTTATCGTTTCCAAAGGGATATAGCTCTCTTTCTTTGATTTTCTTGCAATAGACTAGGAGTCCTATTTATTAGGAAGAGGACGAGAAAAAGAAAAAGGGAGGGGAAGAAAAGCAAAAATATCACAATAAAGCCAACAGATTTTGGTGTGTACTGTTACGGGTTGAAATCCGCTTCTTTAGACACACAAAAACAAAAACACGTTTTCTCTGATCATGCAAACCTCCACGACCAAGTGAGGTGAATTTGGCTTTCAGAATGGCAGGAGTGGTTAGATGGAGGTCAGTGTCCCTCTGTTGTCCCACTTGATTCGGGGGATAGACAGGTAGAGAGCCCTCCCTTGTCTGAAAAAGTGGACTTTGATCTAAAAAAGCTCACATGGTAATGAATCTGCCAGTCTTTAAAGTTCTACAATATTTTGCTTTTCTCTTTCTTTTTCCTTCCTTTAATTTTGGCAGCCGATGAGCTCTCTGTGGCAAACAAAGAGTCTTGTGTTACCCTAAGGCCTAGCAGGTTTCACTGGGCATTTTGAGAGCATCCTTTTGTCTTTCCCTATGCTTGTATAAATCTGTCTCCTGAATCTTTAATAGTTACATTGGAAGGAGTGTGTTTTAGTCTGTGGAAGCAGACACTGAATAGAAGTTGTTAGTCTTTAAGGTAACACAGCATTCTTTGTCATTCTCTGATGAAGTCATCCTTAACATTGCTTCCAAATGTGACATTGTGCTGACACCTGCTGGCTGAACATGAAATTTCATGTGCCCATTAAGGAAACAAAGCTTAAAATTGCTAACTCAGCCTCTTAAACAATTGGAGACATGTCACAATCTCTGTGGGTTTAACAGAAATTTGGCGTGAACTTTTGTGGGTCAGAAGTTAATTAGTTAATTACTATTGATCCTTAGAAATCCATTTGTTGATGCTGGGGGATGGATTTTAATTATTTGACCCAAACACTGTCGTGCAGCTGTGTGCGCTGGCGCATTTCAAAATTGGTTGTGCCAGGGAGGCGCAATTGACTCCACAACTGAAGGGCAGAATTTCTTCTTGCCAGGTGTAGCGCCTGGCACATTTGTGCTGGCATGACTTTGCCTGCTGTGTTGTTGTTAATTAACTAGTCACCATTTTAAAAAGAAAATACGTAATCCATCCCCGAAACTACAAACCCCATGATTCTCTAGTATGAAACTATTTAAAGTGGCCTCAAAGTGACACAGTTGTGTAGTGTGGACACTTGCACAGTATTGGGACTGGCAGCCGTTTTGTGAATACACAAGACATGTGTATTCTTGGGGAAGAATTAGCTACCCCTTGATTCCATAATATTCTCAACAGTGAATCTGTTGTGTCCCTCATTTCAGTGGCAACAGCAATTTCCTTTTTTCTAGCCAAAAATAGTCCACA